TGAACACAGTATTGTTACAAAAAGGTATATCCCACTGTAAAAAACAGACCAGGATTTAAGTTAACTCAAAACCTCAGCAAGTCCCTAACAACTGAATATGTCCCTTCTTACAGACCTAAAGCAGCAGGTTCTTCAGCGGGATTCCCCAGGCCTAATCTAATAAAACACAATGTTTCTTGTGAAGAAGCACAACACCAGATTTTGTTTCTGAACAGGAGTATATATTTATCAAATAAAAGTTAAGAGTTACTGAAAGTTTTTTTCAGATAATATATGAAAAGTGTATAATTTTATTATTTTTAATTAGGGGCTAGTTTATGGGCTATACCTATAATTTACATATGAGATAAATTCACCAGTAAATAAGTGGATAATGATTTTTACAGAATCTGTGACCCTATGTTTGTTATTGAGTAAAAAAAGAATAGTTGCAAAATTAGTTCAATTCATTAAGATATTTAAACCTGCTTAATACCAGTATTACAGTGTTAGAGTGGACTCAACTAAAGTGATTCAACTACATAAACCCAACTAACCACATACTGTAATAAAGATTTTTTTTCAACCGAATTACAACTTTTATTTGTTCAGAAAAGTTTAAATAGGTATTTGAACAAAATATCTTATGGAAATATGGGATGAAATATGGACATGTGAAAACCACAAAAGCCAAAAATATGACCGATCCTCTATATGATCTACAGTATATCACTTTACTGTTTTTTTGGCATTTGTTGTGGTTTACTTTATGGAGATGAATTAAAGGTATTTAATGCTTCTTTTGTTATTGATGCTTGCTTTACATATTATGCGTTTACTGCTTTTTTTCTTTAACATTTTTAAATTCACGTGACTGCTCCTTTCGTGTTTTTCCTTTGTTCTGAGCTCCTGGAGCCTCCTATATGCTAAAGCTTGGGTAGGCATTTCAATCTGATTATTTTGGCTAGCTGGTGGTGTGTCTGTAATTCTTCATTGGCTCTAGCTTCCTTCGGAGACTTCTCCAAGCCTTTTTTTTCCTCCCTCTCTCTTGCTCAAGTCTCCTACATTTCTGAAAGCCACCCAAATCTGCCCTTCATTAGGTAAAGCTTAGTGAGATTTCATGTCTGGACCACTTCGTTTTAGATTTTAGCACTTGAGAGAAATCTGTCCAACTGTTCAAGCTAAAATGTACAATATATAAAATTACATGATGAAAATGTTTTTTTTCAGATACTTTTAATATGTTTAATTTGTTAAACAAAACTAGCAATGCAGTGTAAGTTGGCAACTGGAACTGGAGTGTCAAGAATAGTTTAAAACATAGGAGGCCAGCATCGAGACATCCCAGATCCACGGAGAAAACATAATCAAAAACACACAGGGATATTAAAGGATTGCCGTCAGTGCTGTGAAGGCAGTGAATGGTCCTAGTCGACTCCTAGTCGGGGAGTCAGACACTCACTTTTAGGTCTGGCAGTGAGCAATAGGGGCTTACAAAGACACTGTTGATGTGCAGCACAGTGGAGTCAGACCCTCACTGGCATAGAGACAATGAGAGGCAGGGTTCTATAATTTATATATTATATAATGGTTTATATTAAATAGAATTCACAAAAATTAACTACAGACCGTCTTCTTTTTTTTTCCGTTTCAGCTGAATGAGACAAATTGAAAGTTAAATCAGTCAGGATCTCGGAGTTCAATAAACGATGAACATGGGTGTAAAACTTTTTGCATAACAAGACCGTCAAAGAAACAGACCTTAAGTTTAGATCAGATGACACAGAAGGTGTCGGAATTGTTTCACATGACAGCCTGGAATTCCTCCAAATGCCACGTTAATCACTCACTACACCACCTGGTGGTTTTACAAAGTAGTGCAGTCCTGCATCTGATTATTTAAAAAAAGTAAAAAGGTATTGTATGTTTCAATGCGGTGAAACAGAGTACACTATTTGCATCATCTCACATTATGCTTTGAGCATTCTGAATGGCTGGATCTGTATAGGACTCTGGGATCCTCCGAGATATAAATCTGTATAAACGCCATTTTATCTATCTGTAGTTAGAACTTTTTTTTTACAAAAATTAGAGTAAAGAAGAGGAAGAGAGGAAGAAACTTGGGAATGACACCTGAAGTTGTTTTTTGTGTTAAAAACACAGAAAAACAAAAATGGATAGAGATTTATTAATTAATAAATAATTTTAACAATCTGAATAGTATTTTTCGTACTCAGGAGGAGGTGGCTCCCGGGGTCTCCAAAAATTTACTATAAAAAATCATTTAGCTATGTTCATATCACTTTTATATAACGTTAAGACATTTTTTACATACAGTATTATTCTTGTTAAGAATAATTACTAGCTATGATTCTGCAAGCCTGTTTTACCCCAATTCCCAAGGATCAGTGAACATACAATTCAGTGCCACTTATAAGTACAGGATAAAGTGTGATCGGATTACCATCTAGAGAATGCAACACTTAATAGGCATATTCATATCATGAAAGAGCCATACAGAGCCATACAGTGACTATAATGAATGATCCCCATACTGTGGGCTTTTCAATCCCAGAAGGCAAATACAAAAACATAAAACGTAAAGTGGGAACAAAAATATTGATTAACTTTATGCTTTTAAACAAGAATATTCATTTTAAAACATTATACTACTGCTTACATATTAGAGGGATGAAAAACATAATTATTCAATTTACTTAAACATTGTTTTATTATTTAAAGAGTTGTTTGAGGACTATATACAGTACAGTATATACTGCTTACAGTAATAAGCCATGAGTGACAAGTTAAAATGCGTAAAAGTTGATAAAGCATTTAAAAACAGAAGGCTTATATTAAAAAATTGTCAAAGTTAAAGCAGAGGTAACAGTACATTAAAAAAATAGTGGATGAAAGCCAAATCTACAATTTCTACTGTTTGTTTGGAACTTATGTGACAGGAGAATTTAATTATATAATATTGTATGCCATTAGCAAGATGTGAGCAGACTTTACATTGTACAATGGCTGCAGACTTTCTTTTGGCAAATACTGGTAACACTGAACTCTCACTCTCAAATCCTCTCAAATCAGAACTTCAAAAAACCTCCTCACCAATTGCTATGGTTAGAAACACTCAGCTACTGAAGTCCAATACACTCACAAACCTAGGATTTCTCCAGGACACTAGCCTAAATTTCAATGGACACAATGAGTTTACTATAAAACATTGTCAGCCATATGTGAAACACTGCACAGTACTCTCCTGTAGTTTCTGTCTCTTCCCTATTATTATACTACTACACTATGCTTAGTAAACCAAAGTCCATTAACAAACAGTGTTAACTTATTACAGCATAGCTGACTCTTGTACAATAATTGATGCTTTTTGAACTACAGTAACTCCAAATTTCCACCTGTCAGAGTAGAACTTCATCCTTAAAACCACTCTGTCCCCTTCCAGTACTGAGGTCATCTGATTATGAGGTACACTACAGAGATTTGTACTCTGAAACTACCCCTCTCCTCAGTCAGACATGAACTGAAGAGCTATTGATCACATGACTTTCCTTTAAACCACTTTCTTTCTTAAAACCACCATGATATGGTGCTTGTTCTCATCTATTACACAAGCTTCTTCCTCTTTTATACTGATTTCTTCATTCCCTAAGCCACCTTAGAAATGTTAACGTCTTTTTTGACGGTTTTCATAAAAAAAACACAGAACTTTTTACTATTAGTAATAAATACTATAGTTCAGGTGGGTAGCTGCGACAGCATGTGTAGGCTGCAAAGGAACAAGTAATGAAAAGAGAAGAAAGAAAACACAACGTTTACATCCCAAGAAGGCCCTACAGCTGAAATGTTGTGTTTTCTTTCTTCTCTTTTCAGCATGGAATATACCTATTACTTGATCCTAATAAATACTATCCCTGCTTTAGGCTAGATCATGTTGTCATGATGTGGTTCTAGGTAACACATTTGAGAAGAAGCTCACCATGAAATATAATTCAAAAAAACTTTCAGCAGTAAATTTTAAACCATACCGCACAAAATATTGTTACCAAAAATTGCATTTGCACAACACTCAAAACAGTACCACAATCACACCAAATAGGGCAGGTTCACACAACACGGTATGGATACGTAATATGTAAAGTGTTGTTTTCCTTATACTGAAAATTACCCTGTAGGTAATGTAACCATGTAGATACTGTAGGTAGTAGTGTATTCTCACCGTTAAATCAAGCAATAGTAAAGGTGACTCAGGCATCTCCACCTGCGCATGAAAGAATCTGTTCTCAGGTACAACGACTTTATTGTTTTAATTCAGACAATACCTTCTTTTCTTCCAAATAATAATAAAGGTCTGGCAGTTGTTTTAAATCAGTTCTTTAAAATGTTTCATTTTCACACACTGAAACCAATTATACTGTAAGTAATCTAATTTTCAATTAAAAAACTGCCTGGGTATTTATAATGGGATTTCACAACCATTGGGCGGCACTGTGGCGCAGAGGTTAGCATTTCTACCTGGCAGCACTGGGGCCCTGGATTCAATCCCAGACCTGGGGTGCCATCTGTGTGGAGTTTGTATAGTTGCCCCTTGTTCGTGTGGGTTTCCGCCCATAGTCCATAAACATACTAGTGGGTTAATTGGCTTCTAGGGAAATGGCCCCTGATGAGTGAGTGCGTGCGTGTCTATGTCTATGTGTGCCCTGGCATCCCGTCCAGGGTGGACCCCCTTCTTGCGCCCGTTTCTTTTCGGTATGGGTTCTTTTCCCTCTGCGATCCAGAATTGGAAGAAGCGGTTAGAAAATGGACGGATGTATTTCACAACCACCAGACTTAATATTATTTTTAAAATCAACTGAAATAGGCGACACAATAAAGGTGATATTTGAGTGCCGATTATAAAGCGCCGCACAATTTTTTGAGTTTCCCGTTTCCAGTGTGCCGCGCTACAGGGCTGCAGACTGCAGACTAAAGTTTAGGTAACATACTTGATTAAAAAAGCTTACCTGCTATGTCCCATAGCTGTAATCTCACCAGAGTCTTGCTGTCCCAGTTGATAACTTTTAGAGCGAAATCGACTCCGATAGTAGCTCTGTAATGCTGTGAAAAAAGCTGATGGACGTAGCGCTTTATAATGCTCGTTTTCCCTACACCCAGCTCTCCAATAACCAAAACTTTAAACAAGTACTCCTTACACTCTGACACAGAACCACTCGCCATGACAGAAACTCTCTTTAGCCGTCTCTCGCGGTTGCCTGTCCTCCTAACTGTCAGTACCTGTAGCACCGTCGTGCTATAACGTTGGGGTATTCGTCTTGTTTCGAAAGTACAATCCCGCAGAAAAAAGCACTTTCCCCTCTTCCTGCTCTCTTACTCAACAACCACCTGACTGAGTCACAGGACCCGGAAACTCGAGTTGAACCACCCTTTTGCGTGTTCTAGGTTTGTGTTAGTACACATATTTTATGGAGAGGGGAGAAATTCCTTCTTACTGCCTGTTTATGGGTATTTTAAAATAATTTATTGTGTGCTTTTGTCTAGCTATCCAAGAGTTCTTGAATGCAAACTTCTGGAGTTGACTACTGCTGTACCTGTGGACGGTTATGGAACACGATTGGTAAAAAAAGGAAGAAAACGTTTTGAGTTTCAGCTCATTAAATCCAGTCTTCCCCCTAATACGTACAGTATGCACTGCAGATGACTTTCTAATTTTAATTTAACATGCTTACAACCCCCTTTGGAAGAACAATATGTTCTTAAAATTAACCAGGAGGGTGGAAAATATTTGAATTTCGGTTGTGTCAAATATTCAATGGATTGTGTAATGCTTGCTAGACAAACATGAAAAGACAGTGCTGGAATATGTCTTAAAGCTAAGTGGTTTAAATCGGGAACACCTCACTATTTTTAAAAGGATACGCAACCTTCCCAGAAACCCAAAGGCACAAAGTTGTTTACACTTTCTTGGCTTCTACCGTGACTTTGTCGAAACATGTTACTGTAACAATTAACATTACAGCCGTTTCCACTTCTCTAGCTGATATTCATCATGATAAGTGCTGTATAGTAATCCGTTCAAACGATTCAGAATTCCAGTGATACATTAAACACACTAAAAACAAAATACTACTTGAGAATTATTTAAAGGAAAACCTAGTATCATTACGCTTAGCAAGATATCATTTAAAAAATATAATAGGAATAAATACAAGGGACAAGTGTTTTAACTAGAAAATATTTATTTTACATCATTATTAAGATTATCTTGACAAAAAAGTAATTTCCCCCAATAGTAGTCCTGACCATTTCAAATAGGAGTTTTTTTTCTATGACTTAAACTGAATATTATTTTCAAACTACATACACTGAGTAAACTATATCAATTCATCATAACAATAATACTATCCATTATAATTATGTATTTATATGTTGGACAGATGCAGTCTAATACTAAGCTACTAACTTAGAATCCAATAATTACAGCTGTAAATTGTTCATATGAGTAGATCATTCTCAGCAAGATCTTAACTGCAACGCCTTATTACTAGAAGCAACTACAAACTGATGTACCTTAAACCTATAGCTTTTAAAAGATTTTAATACTGACTTGTAAATGTATTCTCTGAAAAGTTACCCAAATTTAATGCAAACATATACTTTCTCCACAAAACATTGGTAAGACAATTTCCAGATTATAGATACTTCACATTTTTAAAATATATAAGCAATTACATGTTTACAAACATAGCATCTCTTTATGAAAAGAACAAGATTTGACAAATTACAAACTTTGCAAATCCCAAATCATTACAATGACATAAAAACATCAGGAACAAGAAAATATTAATAGCGAATGTACTGTATATGTTCATTTTTTTAATCACAAACTCCTGGCATTCAACCAGTCTTGCTCATCTTTTTATTGTAAAGCAGAAACAAACAAGCTCATTTCTTATTAACCTCTTATATTTTTTATTATATTCTGTATTATAGTCATCTAATGTAATATTAATTCTTGTTTCCATGTTTTTGTCATGTAAGGGATTGATTTCAGTCAGTTTTAATACTTTTAAACCTGTCTTTCCAGCTGGTTATCTGAAGCAGTCTCTTAAAGCAAGGATACAGAAATGAGGATAGAATCTAAAAATATTAACCACAGATAATGTAAAATGGATACTTATGATTTTTAACACAAAATATATAAAACATTGTTGTTGTTGAAGGAAATGAGATTGTATATGATAAATGTTTGCTTTGATTTGAGGCCAAATGGCATGAAAAAGTGTCACAGTCCTTAAAATGCATGTTTTGTACAATACCTTTTGTACAGATACCTTCCATATATCGTAACTACAAGCTAGAATCTGCACATAAAGTGGTCTTTTGTGATTTTCATCACCTGAAAAGCTGTACTTAATTCTCAATGATCTGCCCCATGGGACTTCAGAATGAGGAAGAGCTAATTGCTTATGAAAGCTCCCCTCATCTGTCTTTAATATCATAATACAAAAAATCACAAAACTACCCATATATTTTTTAACTTCTCTTGTGCTTTTTATTTATCTCCTTGTTATGCAGACTAAACAGTGTCTTTGTTCCTACATTTTGAAATTTACCAAAGCAGGCACACAGTCCTTGAAAACTACTTACTACTGGACATTCCATTTGCTTCTGATTTTTTGCTCTGGCTAGCATTGTTCAAAACTACAGAAGTAGTCAGTTATTTAATGATCTTAATTTTATTTTTTGCCTCACAGCGTTGAAGAGCTTTGCTTATAGTCTCTCAGGATAACAGATGCATATGTAACATTTGGCGGGGTGCACAGCACAGATTCGGACACAGGTGAGCTGGGAACAGAGCTGCCAGAACCTACAGAATCTCTAAAAGGAGAGGGTGGTGTAAGTGCTGGAGAATCCTCCAGAGTTAGTTTGGTTGGAACAAGGTCCTCTTCTTCATGGATCTCGGCATTGTCGTACATGTACCCATGGATAAGGTTAAACTGCTCACTTTCAACCTCCTCAATTGGGGAAACAGGCTCCTCACTGAACGTGTCCATCTGGAGAGGAAGGACTTGTTGTTGCATGAGATGAGGCTGATAGATGGGCCTCACACCATTGCCTGGGCCTGGAAGAGTGATCATGGAATTCAGATCCTGAATGCTGGGAGTGAACTTGCCAACTACATCTTGGAGCTGATCCATTATCAGCTGCGGGGGCAGGACACTATTGTGCATGTGCTCTGGCGAGTACATTTGAGATTCTTCATTTTCTTTCATTGGGCCTGTTGCAGGCATTCGCCTGTGTACCATCATGGAAGGGCTAACAGGCCGGTTGTACCTGATGGAGTCGCTCTCATCTTCTTCGGCCACATTGTACAAAGTCTTGGTGCTGAGGTCCGAGAAGTTGAGGCTCTTGTTCTGGTAGGTTTTAGTTAGGGGTTTGATGACTGCCATCTGATTCGACCCTGCCTCCTGTCTCTTCACATGGACAGACAATCTGTGCCACATGTGCTGCCCCTTCGGTGGCTGTCTTGCACCTGGTTCAGACCATGACACAGACTTTCCATTAGAACTATGAACAAAATAAAGACGACTGTTATTTCACAGGAACCCAGAAAGTGGAAGCAAAAAACATTTCTGGTTCATGTAAAAAATGTCATTAGGTAGAAAAGAACTATAAAAATACATTTAACATTTACTAATTTTTCATAATTTCTTAAAAAACTAATGGCACTCTTAAGTAATGCTAAAACTTGTGTGTTGAAAGTGCAGAAATGTATTTGTGCAAAATACCACATAAACAAGTTTATTTTTAAATAAGTTGTATCTTACAAGCTTACTGTATGTTATACGTGTACACTTAAGAATGCTTATTAGCCTTTACAAAGGCTGCAGGAAATGGCAACAAATTAACTCCTCCTTAAGAACAACCCAGAGTTTTAAACAGTGCATACCATTTTTTGTCAGTACAATGAGTCTTTTAAAAATAAGGAGTGGTATCAAAGGTTTAGTCAGTGAGATAAAAGTCTAGTGAAAAGCAAAAATCGTTTACTCACAAACCCCTGTTCATCCTTAGAGGTTTGAGCTGTGAAATTTTAGAATACATGCTGCTTTTGTCATTTTTGCAAGACATTACATTTTGTTTTAAGCATATTAAATGTGTCTTGCCAGATTTGTTGAGTGGGAGAAGATTTTGCTAAAACAATCTGTTTTATTTTCATGAAGTACTATACAGTGTAATATCTTAAACAGTTACTCTTTTTTAAAATGTACAGTATATTCTGCATAGCTTAAAATTCTTGCAGTGGGCTTTATACAAGCATTTACAGTACAGTATTGTAACGAACAGTTCTTTCCGGACCCTATGCGGACGACACAGTCCGACGGAGTGGGGAAACACTGGGGAAACGTCATGCAGGAAAATGGGGCAGAAGACAGGGGGGCGTGTCCAAGGTGCGCTGGTGCATGGGGGGAGGCGTGGCCGAGGCGAACAATCCCAGAGAGTAATCCTTAGAGTATCCAAAACACACGAGTAAGTCCAAAACCAGAAGATCCTTCAGAACAAGATAAAAACCACGAAAGCCGGGTCGGAACCGGCGGACGGGGAACAGGAACGGGAACAGAGGTTAAAACCTTGACGGGACCAGGCGCTTCCAGGTCCCGGACTCGCACGATATGGAAATCAGATGCAGAGCCTACACCTGGACCCCGCGGACAGCACCCTGGCAGCCCGGATTCCATCGTTTTTTTTTTCTCTCCCCTTTTTTTTTTCTTAGGGCTTCGGAGCCACCCTGAAAAGGAGGGGCGTACTGTCACGATATTAGTTCCCCCTCCTTAAGGGTGCTCCAGCCCTTTCACTCAAGACTGTATTCCTGCATGATGTTTCCCTAGTGTTTCCCCACTCCGTCGGACTGTGTCGTCCGCATAGGGTCCGGAAAGAACTGTTCGTTACAAGTATATCATGTTTCAGTTACATGTCATCTAAAAACAGCACTGTGAAGGTGAAAAATGTCACACAAGTTGTAAAATTCAATTAAAAACCCCATTGGGCAATTTAACTTTAAAACATCATACTGTATTTAGGAGTTTGAATCTCCTTTTGAATAAAAAAAGTGTCTTGATTACTTTATGGTTTCCACAAGCTTGATAATAATTAGGTACAGAAAGCACTTTTAAATACTAAGCAAACTTTACCTCAATCTTAATATATCTGTACAACTCAAGTTTTCCTAAATTGATTTAGTTTTTTAAAATTATTTTTCATTTTCTCCTCAAAGTTGTCTGTAATCAATTTTTAAAATTATTTCATTGTGCTCTCATTTTTAAGAACACTACTGATAAGAAATTGTACTGTATATCAAGTTTCTGTAACATTTACAAGGTTAATTAATTTACTGCCCTCAGCATTGATATTGAACAAAGAACAGTACATTTCTCTTCTTCAGTACAGAGTACATTTTCTCTTCACAAAATAAGTGTTTATGTGCTTATGAACAACAAAACAACGTTTTATTTTGTATAAGAGAAGTTGAATATTAAACTGTTGGATAAGAATGGTAATTCTAAAGGTACCATGGCAAAATGACCCTACTTAAGTGTGCTTGCGTTCACTAAACCATTAAAGAGCTTGTAATAATATAATGGTAATACTGCTCATGCTTTGGTATACTTACACTAAATCTAAAACAAACATATTTACAGTCGGTCCTGTTTATACATGATTCCTGGAAAACATGCAGTACTGTTTATACCATTTCAAATAAAACATTATTCTACTTTTCTTGTCAATTTTTATGTATATTTTTCTAAATTTAGCAAATTAAACTTGTACTGCAACTGCACAAAGCCTTTGAAACTTTGCATGTGTTAGGGGTAAAAGCAATGTACCTACCTATGAGAAAACATACTTGTACAGTATAAACTTATTCTATTACATTGACTTACTTGGCATTTCCTGTAGCAGGTTTCTTCCTTCTGAACATATTTAGCAGGCTGTTGCTCCTGCAGGCTATTTTCCCATCACCTACATGCATGCGTACAACGTCTGAAGTGGTAAACGCGCTGCGGACATTCCTTTCAGGTTTGGCTATGATTATGTACATCTTTGGGGTGAACATGCACCCCAGGGCCACTGTCACGCTCAGGCTCACTGAGAAGGATGTGGTAATTATTTTGTAGTTGCTGCCAAAATAAATAGGTACAAAGGCCAGCCATATAATGCAGGTGGTGTACATAGTGAAAGCTATATATTTTGCCTCGTTGAAGTTTGCAGGGACATTCCTGGTCTTGAAAGCATAATAGGTGCAGCTCATTATGAGCAGTCCATTGTACCCTAGAGGGGCCACCATCCCAAGGTTGCTGGTGTTGCATATCAAGTAGACCTCCCTGATGCTGGGATAGGACTTGATAGGTTCAGGAGGCTCCATAATTATGAGGGTGATCTCCAAAGTTAGCTGAACACTGATTAAGATGGAAGCAATCACAACTTGGGCCCAGGCGCTCATGAATCTGGGTTTCCTGGTGCAAATCTTCTTCTTGCTGCCAGCTAGGATCCGTGCAATCCTGTTGGTTTTTGTGACCAGAGCTGAGTAGCACATGGCTGAAGACAGCCCCACTAGGAGCCGCTGAAGGTAACATGATGCCACAGTGGGCCTGGCAATAAGAGTGAAGGGGCAGATATAACCCAGGAAGATGCCAGCTAGGATGATGTAGCAGAGCTCACGGCTGGAAGACTTGACCACTGGAGTGTCACGGTATAGCACAAAGATGAAAGTCACAAACATGGTGACCAGGATTCCCAGACAGGAGAACACCACTGCTGCTATGGACTCTGCATTGCTCCACTCAAGATACCGCAAAGGTATGGGCTCACAACCTGCAAAATTAGACAGGGCTTTATTGAAAAACCACATCAACATGAATTTTAAATGAAAACCATACAAATCTATAGATGTCTATATTTAATATTTGCTTCCCTTGCGTATGATAGTATAGTCATTGAAATGTTATTTTTTTATTCTTTTTAATTTTTGCTGTGTGTACATTTCTGTTATATAAAAAAAGCAGAAAGAGAAATAATTGGTATATTTTTAATAGTAAAAATGTTTTGTTAATGTAACAAGATTGTAAAGCTATTTCGAACTGAGACAATGTGAGGTAGGTGGAGTTATAATGACCAAATCAGCTGAACTGCCACTAGAGGCTGTTAAACACCTCTAATACGCCAATTCCTTGTGCTTAATGTACTCCTGAAAATCTCTCATATAAAGAAAACTCATAAATTGAAGACTAAGTTACCATTAATTTACATGGGGAAAATTATAATGCATTTCTGAACCCAAAACATCCACCCCTTTTCACCAGTAAATGATCAAAATACAACCAAAACCATTTAAAGTACAAGCACAAATTCTATTCATTATGAATAATATTAATTATTTATATTTTTTTTTATATTATCAAAAAATATAATAACCTTCAATGGTATTTTTACTGTAAAGGAGAGATATGACAACTTTCTTTCCCAAATCAATCGGTGATACTGTAATTATCATTTTTTCATTGTTTTATTTAGCTATTGATAATTTAAGAAAAAAAGTTTTATTTTCAAATCAAACTTTTGAGAATTAGGAAACAGCTTAGCCTTCATGTTTCTTATTGATGGTTACAGTGATGAATGGTAGGTGCTGTACATAATAACACTCACATAAATTATTACATATATAGCACACACACAGGATGAAGATAAATGTGGTGCCTGACAAATGTCTTTGTTATGCTGGCTTTCATCGATGCATCATATCACATCCAG